AACGTCCGTGAGGGTTTATATTTTGGAAGTTTCTCCCCTTTTGCCTTGTAGAGTAATAGTGAGTTATTAGTGTATTTCATTTTTAAACTTTTACTTGTTTTAGATTACTTTAAGATGGCCGCACATTAATTTGGTTACAATTTACATTTTAACTTTTTGGGTTTTTAACCCTTAACTATTTTCTATCAAAAGAAAAAAACCTTAACTATTTTCTTCTCCTTTTTTGAGATCTTTTATTTTAATTCAGCTCAAATTTAAATATTGTGCATTAATTTTTAATTTATATAACCGTAACATTTTAGTATCTTAATTATCTAATATTGATAATTTTTTGTACAGGTTGGGAGCACTAATTTTACCCGAACTAGTCGTAGTGAAATTCTTGACCGCAAGCGGGGGCATTAATTTTACTCTAAGTACTAGTAGTGAAATTCCTGATTGAAAGCGGGAACACTTGCCCCCCTAGGCCCCTCCCTAGGTCCTCCACTGTATATGAGCCTATATACTTAACCGTATGCAAACCTTTCTCTCAAAAGTGCTTTAGATTTGACCATGTGTTAGTTAATCCTAAAATGGATGGTTTTATTGTTATCATTATATCGGAAATAGTACTGGGGCAATAATTGTTTTATAGTGGTTGAGGGTTTATTCTTATTGCTTCCTTTCCCTTGGTTGTCAAAGAACACACTGTGATTTGTTTGCTTGGAGTTTATATGTGAATAATGACTTTCCTGCAGTATGTTGAAATCTATATGTATTCTGCATTAGCTTGAAATCAGGTTGCTTTTGATTTAATTGTTTTAATTTGAAGTATTCGATTTGACACTATCAAGGTAGTCAAAGGCGTAAGGCGCACTCAAGACGACAGGGGATTTCCAGCGCCTGAGGCGCAAGGCGCAAAAAAGCGCTCGCCTGACTCATGTCAGGCGCACTGCTTAGAAAAAACAACACATACTATTCTCCAACAATCAAACATGATGTATAAAATACCATATTGAACCAACTACATTAAAAAGTCACGTTTCTTACAAATAAACTCACGATTAACCAAAATAATGTCACGAATAACCTAAATAAAGTCATGGCTCATGATTCACTTAAAGTCTTAAACATTAAAACTAAAAAATAAAACATAATTAGATTTTAGTTTTCTAGCCCAATTCCCCATTTTCTGCAGGACTATTTGTCATGAAAAGACGAGTCTATTTCTTCTACATTTTCTAATTATATCCTCCTACATCCTCTTCAATTTCTCCATCACTTCCCTCATCCACAAGCCTACTACTACTCCACTAGTACTTGTACTACAAATTGTGGACTGTCTACTAGTATATTTTATGGGTTCTTTTTTCATTTTTCAGCACTACGATTAACCAATATTTTTGTTGATTTACAGCTTCGGAACTAGTGGCTGAAGTTCCAACTTCCATGTCCTGTAAAAAAATACACAAGTCAGATATTATATATACAGTATACTTTCATGTATGAGTTCTAAATAGTACGAAGTATATAATAACAACTACATGCTGGAAAAAATAAAGACAATGGGCTGGTTGTATCATAGTATGTATATGTGGTAAAGAAAATGGTAGTTTGCTAATATGGACTGGTAGTATGTATACAACTATACATGGTAAAAAAAATACTGTAGCTGAAACATATTACATCATTTCATTTTCATTTACCCCAGTGCCGCAAAGGCTCCCACCTACGGTGGGGTAAGGGGGGGTCGGATGTACGCAGTCTTACCCCTATACTAAAGCACAGAGAGACTGTTTCTGGATGACCCATAGTGAAAATCGCGTCCAAAATTGCATGGACTGACTGCTGCTTCATTACAAAGAAGCTCAGACAGTTTAGTGAGCCATTTTGCTTTATTCCATCATAATCTCAAGCCAAAAAATAATGAATCTTTGGCTCCATTGCAAATGATGGAAAGAGCTGAAACATATTACATATACATGATAAAAAAATACAAGTAGCTGAAACATATACATGGTAAAAATATAAGTATACAACTAGTTTACATATATGTTTAAGTTGTTTAGACTATAGAACTGAACTAACTGAAACATACAAACAAGAGTTCTACAGAGTACAAGAATTATATGTTTGAGAAAATGGTGAAAAAATGTACTAGTACTTTACATGGATAGTTTACAAGGTAGCTAGGAGAAGAAGTATACAAGTAAGCAGTTAGTTTACTTATATACATGGACTGTTTACTTCACGGTAGCTAGGAGAAGAAGTATTCAAGTAAGCAGTTACTTTACACTTTACATATACATGGTGAAATAAAATGGAAGATGAAGGAGAAGAAAGCTTACTTTGATCTTTGAGTGCTGCACTGCTGCAAGCTTTGCGGTTGATGTCGAGGTATAGGAGGAGTTTGCGAACATGTAACAGTAGAGCAGAGCAGGAGGTTTAAGTTATGTGTTTAGCGTAGGTTACATTGTTTAAGTTTTTAACCTTATTTACATGGGCTTTATTAAAAATATGGGCTTCTTAATGGTCTTACTTGACCGCAAATGTGAGAAACTGCCTCAGTAAATCGTAAAATAGACTTTCCCCTGTCAGGCACGATAAGCGAGCGCTTAAAATCACTGCTGCGCTTCTGCGTCTGGTGCGCCTAATTACTAAAAAGTTATTTAATGTCTATGTTTTCAAAGAAAAGAGCATTTATAAAGAATTATTTAATTGTTTAAAATTATAACATCTCAATAAAACTAAAAAAATCAGTGTGATAATAAAATCCGCAATTTAACTTCTGCCATTTTTTATTCATAACCATTACTCGCAAAATCTTTCAATGGATCTGTTTTATAAAATCAAATAATCCGTACTACGTATGTAACTATTCCTCAAAATTTGAAAAAGGCAACGTCTATATTCTTAGTCTATTTTAGACCACAATTTTTTTACTTTCTATATTTTCTTAATTCTTATTTATTTTGTTTTAATTTTAAACCACACATCCTATACAAAAACAACATCCAAGTCTTAGTCCCAAAGATATTGGGGTCAGCTAAGATGAATCGATACATGATATCACCATCAAAAGGAAAAGAAAGAAAATAAAGATAAAAAAGATAAGCTATGATAAAATGATAATATAAAAAGAGATGAATATACATAAAAATGATAAAATAAAAAGGATACAAATAATGCTTATATATAAGGATACAAACAAGGAAAAAAGATGAGGGGAAAAGATGATACGAGATCACTCCTCCACACGAATACCCGCTCTCCACTTAGCTCTCTCCAAAGTCATGCACTCATCCAACCCCAGAAGAAGCATATCACTTCGAACTCCCCTAACCCACGTTTGTTTGGGTCTTACTCTCCCTCTCTTCCCTGCCTCTTCTCCACACATCTCAACTCGTCTGACTGGTGCATCACTCAATCTTCTACGCACATGACCAAACCACCGTAGGCGCGACTCCCGCATCTTGTCTTCAATAGGTGCTACTCCCACCATTTGTCTGATTGTCTCATTCCTCACGTGGTCCTTCCTAGTATGCCCACACATCCAGCGCAGCATGCGCATCTTTGCCACACTCATCTTTTGAATGTGACATTGTTTCACCGCCCAACACTCTACGCCATACAGTAATGCAGGCCTAATTGTTGTCCTATAAAATTTACCCTTTAGTCTAGTCGGCATACCTCGATCGCATAGAAATCCTGATGCACTCTTCCACTTCATCCACCCTGTTCTGATTCTATGAGATACATCTCCATCTAACTCACTGTCCTTCTGAATTATGGAGCCCAAGTAACGGAACATATCGCTGACTGGTATCTCCTTACCATCCAGAGTAATTCCGCTATTACCACTGCTTCTATCTCCACCAAACTTGCACTCCATGTACTCTGTCTTGCTCCGACTTAGTTTGAAACCCTTATTCTCTAATGTTTGTCGCCATACTTCCAACTTTGCTTTAACACCTGATTGCGTCTCATCAATCAATACAATATCGTCGGCAAACATCATGCACCATGGTATATCGTCTTGAATTGACTTCGTGAGTTCATTCATGACTATGGCAAATAAGAAAGGGCTCAGAGCTGATCCTTGGTGCACTCCGATAGTAATAGGGAACTCTTCAGTCGTCCCTACACTAGTATGGACACTTGTAGTACAATCCTCATACATATCCATGATGATGCTGATATACTTGGGTGATATGCCTTTTCTAGTTAAGGTCCACCAAAGAACTTCTCGAGGTACCCTATCATATGCCTTTTCTAAGTCAATGAACACCAAATGTAAAACCTTATAAGCATCTCATACTTCTCCATAAGTTGCCGAAGAAGGTGAATGACCTCAGTTGTTGAGCGACCAGGCATAAAACCGAATTGATTCTCTGAAATCTTCACAGTTCTTCGAAGTCTTTGCTCAATCACTCGCTCCCAAAGTTTCATGGTGTGACTCATAAGCTTAATCCCTCGATAGTTGACACATTCTTGTACATCACCTTTATTCTTAAATAAGGGGATAAGAGTACTCTTTCTCCAACTCGTTGGCATCTTGTTGTTTCTCCAAATCATGTTGAAGAAACTTGTTAACCACTCCACGCCTCTCTCTCCCCAACTTCTCCAAGCCTCGATCGGTATGCCATCTGGACCCACTGCTTTCTTCCGTCCCATCTTCCCCAGAGCTTCTTTAACTTCCGTTGTTTGGATCTTTCTCACAAAATCACGATTTACCATACAATCTGGTATGGACAAACCACACATCCTATATAAATACTATCTCCGTCCCTTAAAACTTTGCCAAAGTTGACCGACACGGAGAATAATAAAATAAAAACTGTGTGGTTTAGATCTGTGCAGAGGAGAGAGAAATAACAAAAACCACAAAATAATTGATTAAAAGGGAAAGTGATAAAATTTTTTGGAACATTCTAAAAAAGAAAGATGACAAAGTTTTAAGGGACGAAGGGAGTAATTAAATAAAATTTATATCGGGTGCATCCCACAGGTGAAATATGAGCGCGTGTAAAATCGAATTCCTATTTTGCCACAATTAGGATGTGAGTGTGTCTGATTTACTGAAATCAGTCTTGCACCATTTTTGATTATCTGAAGAAAATTAGCTTGATAAGCTAAAGTGCCTCACTGCCATTGGACATTGCTATTCTATTCAGCTTCTCCCTCCCCTTTCCAACACGATCTGCCATCAGGTAGGTATTCATCGTTCTTTCTTGCGTTCTTTTTGTTCTGCTTGTTTAGACTCGGAGTTTAAATCATGATTTCTCTATTGCTTTCTCCTCCCATGGTTTCCCCTTTTTCTCACAATTCGTACAAATATTCCAAGATTCCTATTTTTTGAATCTAATTATTCGTGTTGTCGCTGCAAACATTCCGAAAAGGAACTTCAGTTCTTGAAAAATTCACCCTCAACAGCCATCCATCATGGCTATGCATTTTTGGTACTGTTTCTTTTAAGAAACCTGATATGACAACATAGAAGTGTGTTTTGCATTGTAGTTCAGTGGTTCTTAGCTTTTATTGTAAATTATGCATTAATAATGTCCCTTAGTGCGAGTGGCTTAAGCTTTGGTGCTCCCGTGTGAAAACGGATCCATTCATGGACTTCTCTATTTCCTAATTCCTCCGAGTATTTGAGCTCTTCTGGCTAGCTGCCATGAATGATAATAGGAAAAGGGAAGGAAAAGAATTTCAGACTCTCAGGCTTCTAATCCGAAATTCATCTTCTTCCGCCAAGACCACACGAACGTTGGTAAATCATCAACCAGGCCCTGTTCCTCGTTCTTGCCACTTGATGTCATTCGAACGGATGAAAATTTCCAACTTTCTGCATTAAGCCTTGCCAGACGAATCTTAATCCTTTTGACTATGAAATCACCAACTGAAGCTTTGACTCTCTCCTCTCCTGCACTGCTTTGACAGAAAAGCAGGCTGAGAAATACTCCTGGACAAAATCGCTGCCTCCAATCTAAACCGTAGCTCGAGAGCATACTCGGCTAGGCTCCTTTGCTTTAGAAGTCATAATAATTCTAGCACGAGCCTCAACCTGAACCTATTCCATACATATTTTGGCTTTGTTATAAAAGTTGTGGTATAATCTTGTCATCATTTCCTGGGTATAAAAAATTAAATAGGAGTAAAAACGTTTTGGAATTTTAAAATGAAAGTACTATGTTTTTATTTCCTAAATATGAGTAATTATGGCAGTTTTCCCATTTCCCTTGAACACCAGAAACCAAAAGAGATATCCAGATAATGTAATAAGAAAGTGTTTCTTGATTTATAAAAGATGTTGACCAAATACAATGGAATAAAAAATTCTACCCAGAAACTCGAACATGAGTTAAAGCTCATATGGTAGACGAAATGCATGACCAAAAACTTATACGGAGGATTTCAAACCGTTGTAGTATGTAGACCATCTTAAGAAACTTTGTTAAGCTCTGTAACTATTCACATGCTCACGATCATCTACTGGTAATCACACGCTCACAATCAAGTCATCTGGACTCTGGAGGAGGCGTGCTAGTACTTTCTCTTTCTTCTCTCTACACGACCTGACCGTATGGATATAATTATGCACATGTGTATTTTCGTGGTTGTTTTGTATAATGATAACTTGATAAACCCCACCCTGTCTTATTAATGTTATATCCATATCGCTCAGGTATGTAACTCTATAAGTTTATATAACGTTGATAGTTGGGGAGATTATTATTATGGTTATCCAAGTTATATAAATGTCTATTAAATCTGATAAGTTTAATAACTTGGTGTACTAATTAATTCCCAAATTTTGAAATGATAGTTTGATCGACACAAGGCTGGGTCATGCTTTAAACTTGACATAACAATGACGCAGTCGGAATCACGAAGGATTAGCAAACGCTAATCCAAGAACGGTAGTTACGTTTGCTAGCAGCAAACCTGTGCGAAGAACACTGGAATCCACCAGAAAACTCTTGATTTTATTATGAGTAAAAGATAGTTATCCAAACAAATAGATAGTATAATTGAAAATATTAAAAAGTCGCTATCGGGCCTTAAATGAACACAAAAGCCAATTTCAGCCCATATCTTGCAGCCAAAACAGTAGCATGTGATCCCTGACAGATTCCATTATCAAAAACATATAATAATATTCATTATTACACTGAATGCCACACTTGTGCAAATCATGTTGCATTTGACTGCAACTTGATTTCATCTTCTATTCTCACTGCAAGTCTCCCTACATCAGTCTCCTCCACCTCCGAAGAACTCGGCCCCGAGTTCTCTTAGGGATAAAGAACTGCATCCTCATGATACTCATAAATATCAGCCACATTAAAAGTATTAGAGATGTTCATGGAATCGGGAAGAGCTACCACATAAGCATTGTCATTGATCTTCCTCACAACCTTGAAAGGCCCATACTTACGTGGCTGCAACTTCTTGTAAGTGCCAACTGGGAATTGCTCTTTACGCAAGAACACCATCACATCATCCCCAACTGCAAAGACCTTAACTCTTCTGCGCTTATCAGCTTTGACTTTATTTTTTTTGTCCCGTAGCCTCCAATTTAGCCTTGACAGACTCCTTAACAGTTTGTACTTCCTTAGCCATACTCTCTGCTTCTGTACTCATCCCAGGAGCTTTGGGTAGTACAACCAGATCAACCACATGCCTAGGAACATAAGTATAGACTAGAGAAAAAGGCGACTTCCCTGTAGCTGTGTGCACGACGCTGTTATACGCGAACTCAGCCTGTGGCAACGCTAAGTCCCACTGTTTTGGCTTGTCTCCACAAATACTCCTGATCATATTTCCCAACGTTCTGTTGGTTACTTCAGTCTGCCCATCAGTCTGGGTCTCGGGGTGAGCGGTTGAGCTTCTGTTCAGAGTCATCCCAAACATTCGCCACAAGGTGATCCAAAAATGACTGAGGAACTTGGTGTCCCTATCTGAGGTAATGGACTTAGAAACCCCATCTAAACGCGCAACTTCTCTGAAAAACAGTTTAGCTATGTTGGATGCATCGGCGGTCTTCTTACAGGCGATAAAGTGCGACATCTTGGAAAACCTGTCGACCACCACAAACACAGAATCCACGCCTCGTTGTGTACGAGGCAACCCTAGCACAAAGTCCATAGAAAGATCTTGCCAGATGTCATCAGGAACAGGTAGAGGCATATAAAGACTAATATTTTAAGACTGACCTTTATAGACTTGACAAGTGTAGCAACGCTTGACAATTGCACCAGCATCTTTCCTCAATGGGGCCAGAAAAATCGCTCTTCCAAACTAGCAATGGTCTTATCTCTCCCTAGGTGACCACTAAGACCACCACCATGTAAATCTCGAATCAGTTTCTCTCTCAATGACGAACAAGGACACAACTGATCCCCCTTTAAAAGGATAGCCATCACGAATGTGAAAATCTGCACTTGAATGCTTGCTCACACACTTAGTCCATAAATCCTTGAACTCAACATCAGTCTCGTACAACTCTTTCAACAACTCAAAACCCACAATTTCTTGGGTTAAAGTAATCAACAAGGAAGCCCTCCTACTCAAAGCATCTGCTACCTTGTTCTGAACCCCAAACATATGTTGAATGATGAAAGGAAACTTCTGCAGAAAACTCACCCAGCGAGCATGCATCTTGTTTATGATTTTCTGGCTATGGATGTACTTCAAGGCGAGATGGTCAGTAAACAGAATGAACTCCCTCTGAATCAAATAATGCTCCCATTGTCTCAAAGATCTAAATACAACATAGAACTCCTTATCATAAGTACTCCATTTTTGTCTGGCCTCGCTCAATTTCTCACTAAAGAAAGCCATTGGTCTCTTCTCTTGTGAGAGTACGGCACCTACTCCTACACCACTGGCATCACACTCAACCTGAAATATCTTATCGAAATCAGGCAAGGATAGGACTGGCGCAATGCACAACTTTTCCTTGATCAAAGCAAAACTTTGCTCTTGCTCAGGTCCCCAATGAAACTTCCCTTTCTTCAGGCACTCAGTAATAGGTGCAGTAATGGTATTGAAATCACGCACAAATCTCCTGTAAAAAGTAGCCAGACCATGAAAACTACGTACCTCAGTAACAGATTTAGGGGCTGGCGAGTCCCCAATAGCACTCACTTTATCTCCATCAACTTGAATTCCGTCCTCACCAACAACATAACCTAGAAAAAACAATTTGTTGGTGCAGAAAGTGCACTTCTTTAGGTTTACATACAGCCGGTTGTCTCGCAAGACCTGTAACACTTGTTGTAGATGCTCCAAGTGCTCTTCCTTGGTCTTACTGTAAATCAGGATGTCATCGAAATAGACCACCACGAAAGAGCCAACAAAAGGACGAAGAACCTGATTCATCAGCCTCATAAAGGTACTAGGGGCATTAGACAACCCGAAAGGCATCACAAGCCACTCATAAAGATCATCTTTGTTTTTAAAAGGTGTCTTCCACTCATCTCCGGGTCTTATTCTAATCTGATGATAACCACTACGCAAATCTATCTTTGAAAATACTTTAGATCCGACCAATTCATCTAGCATGTCCTCTAAACGAGGTACGGGAAAGCGGTATTTGATAGTTATCTTGTTGATGGCTCTGCTGTCAACACACATTCGCCACTGATTACCCTTCTTAGGGACAAGAAGGACTGGTACTGCACATGGGCTCATACTCTCCCTAATAAACCCCTTTTTCAGCAAGTTCTCGATCTGCTCTCTCAATATCTCGTTCTCCGTAGGGCTCATGTGATAATGGGGAAGGTTTGGCAAGCTAAACCCTGAGATCAAGTCAATTTGATGTTGAATGTCACGCATAGGAGGCAGATCATTGGGCAACACATCTGAGATCACCTCTTCGAAACTCTTCAAGATTTGGTGCACTTCTTTTGATGTTGATGTTGAATGTCACGCATAGGAGGCAGATCATTGGGCAACACATCTGAGATCACCTCTTCGAAACTCTTCAAGATTTGGTGCACTTCTTTTGGTGTCTCTGCCTTCTCTTTCAGTGCACTCATCAAACCTTTGATCACAACTGGACAGAAACATTCAGTTTCTTTAAAAGCTTCATCTAATTCCTGCTCATTCTTCGTCATGATCAGGAAATTGGACTTCTCTCTCCTTGGGCATTTATCAAAACTCAAAACTGGAGCCATAGCAATTTTGTGTTTCCCCTAGGTGAATAACATCACATTCTCTACCCCTGTATGTGATATCATTATCATACTGCCAAGGTCGCCCAAGCAAAACATGGCAGACATCCATATTCAGAACATCACACACTACTTCTTCGTTATAGTGCCTTCCAATAGAGATAGGTATCTTGCAAGTCTGTGATACCTTAACTTGAGAACCCTTACTCACCCACCCCAGCGTGTAGGGCTCTCATGAGGTTCCGTCTTCAATTTTAGATGCTCTACTAGCTGCTCAGAAACCAGATTCTCAGTACTCCCATTATCTACAATCAGATTACACACCTTGTTCGCGATGGAATAGTGTGTTCGAAATAGATTCTTGCGCTGCCCTTCTTCCTTGGAAGACAATAAAATCCTTTGAAGCACAAAGTTTACCCTCTCTTCAGATTCCTCTTCAGCAAAATCAACTCCTTCATACTCATTGCATTCTGCTTCTTCGTCGTCTTCCTCGTTCAGAATAGCGGCGGTCCTCATTGATGGACAAACGTTGGATCTATGACCTTGTCCGCCACAACGATAACATTTATCAATAGATGCTTCGTGTAAGGATTATTTGGCTTCTGGACCGGTGTCCTATTCATAGTGGAACTGCTAGCACCTCCTGTCCCCTTAGTCAAGGAATTCGAGTCCTTTGCAACTGCACTTTTTTCCTTATCTGCTGCTTCATAATTGTTTGGCGGAGTGAACTTGCAAAAAGATGAGAATTTTCTGGGGGACTTCTCCATCAATTCCGCCTTCAAAGCCAGTGTAGATGCTTCTGTTATGGTCCACACGGTTTGTAAGCCCATCTTTTCTTGTATAGATCCTTTCGGGCCATTGATATAACGAGTTACCTTCTGACCTTCTGTTTCCCTTAAATCGTCCCGCTCAGTTACGCTCCTTCTTCCCTGAGCGCAATCAATGTACATCTTGTACAGGATCTGCTCATAATCTTCCGGTAAGAAACGCTCTAACATCAACTGTTTCATACGCCTCCAAGTTCTGATTGACCTTTTCCTCTGGCACTGCCTTTGAACAACAAACTTATCCCACCATACTGCTGCAGTGCTCTTCAATCGAATTGCTACCATCTTAACCTGCTTGCTTTCAGGCACTCCCATGACGTCGAAAAACCTATCAACATCAATCTGCCAATCCAGAAATTCTTAAACTCCCATAGTCCCATAGAACAAAGGGATATCCGCCTTTACTCGGTAATCATAGCGATTATGTTGATTATTCTGATTTGTTTCTTCCTCCAAGATCTCATCTTCCGTAGAACTGGAACTATTTCCGGCCTGATCGACTCCACCGCGGGGATGCCTGTGTTGTTCCTCCTCCCTGTATCTCCTCTGGTTCCTATTGTTGTCGGTGTTGTTCAACTGGGTTCTTAGAGTCACCACCTGCTCAGTCAAAGCAGTGAGGGCCGTGGTAAAAGCCGCGGTAATACCCTCGAGTTCTGCTCTGGTTACTGGTTGGTCTCCCATGGCTGTTCAAGCTATGAAAAGAAACAGGAGAAAGCCTGCTCTGATACCACCTGACGCAGTCGGAATCACGAAGGATTAACAAACGCTAATCCAAGAACAGTAGTTACGTTTGCCAGCAGCAAACCTGTGCGAAGAACACTGGAATCCACCAGAAAACTCTTGATTTTATTATGAGTAAAAGATGCTTGGCTACTGCCTTACAGGAAAGTTTAAATACTTCAGGAAAATCTAGTGCAAAAATTATCCAAAGCAAAATCAAAACAAATATAATTGAAAATATTAAAAAGCTGCTATCAAGCCTTAAATGAACACAAAAGCCAATTTCAGCCCATATCTTGCAGCCAAAACAGTAGCATGTGATCCCTGACAGATTCCTTTATCAAAAACATATAATAATATTCATTATTACACTGAATGCCACACTTGTGCAAATCATGTTGCATTTGACTGCAACTTGATTTCATCTTCAATTCTCACCGCAAGTCTCCCTACATCAAACACCAACAACATTCAAGCCTTATCATTAACATGCTTTAATCTTGTCTTCTAAGTAAATTTAATTTTAGAAAATGACACTTTGCTTGGCATTGTCATGCTCAATAATCTTGTCAATGGGTTTAATACTTGGTTCCCGGTTAGCCGATCATTTGTTTACATGGCAATCTAGGACCTCCTCCTTCCCACCAAGTCACACCATGAAACATTGGGAGCGAGTGATTGAGCAAAGACTCTGAAGAAGTGTGAAGATTTCGGAGAATCATTCAATTTTATGCCTAGTCACTCAACAATTGAGGTCATTCACCTTCTTCGATAACTTGTGGAGAAGTATACAGACGCTAACAAGGATTTGCATTTGGTGTTCATTGACTTAGAAAATGCATATGATAGGGCACCTTAAGAAGTTCTTTGGTGGGTCTTAACTAGAAAAGGCATATCACCAAGCATATTAGTACCATTATGGATATGTATGAGGATTGTACTATAAGTCTCCGTACTAGTGTAGGGAGGACTGTAGAGTTCCCTATTACTATCGGAGTGCACCAAGGATTGACTCTGAGCCCTTTCTTATTTTTCATAGTCATGGATGTACTTACAAAGTCAATTCAAGATGATATACTGTAGTGCATGATGTTTGTCGATGATATTGTATTGCGACACATATTAGAGAGCAAGGGTTTCAGACTGAGTCGAAGTAAGACTGAGTACATGAAGTGCAAGTTTGGTGAAGATTGAAACAGTGGTAATAGTGAAATTACTTTCGATGGTAAGGAGATACCGGCCGGTGATATGTTTTGTTACTTGAGCTCCATAATTTAGAAGGACAGTGAATTAGATGAAAATGTATCCCCATAGAATCAGAACCAGGCGGATGAAATGGAAGAGTGCGTCAGGATTTATATGTGATCAAGGTATGCCGATTAGACTGAAGGGTACATTTTATAGGACATCAATTATGTCTGCATTATTGTATGGCGTAGAGCGTTGAGCGTTGAGCGGTGAAACAATGTCACATTCAAAAGATTAGTGTGACAGATATGTACATGCTACGTTGGATATGTGGACATACTAAAAAAGACGGCTTGAGGAATGAGACAATTAGACAAAAGGTGACTTGGTCTCGGCGTACAAGACCGAATAATGCACCTGTCAAACGAGTTGCAACTTGCAAGGTGTGGAAAAGAGGCAAGGAAGAGAGGGAGAGGAAGACTCAAATAGACGTGGATTTGAGGAGTTGGGAGTGATATGCTTCTTCATGGATTCGATGAGCGTGTGACTTTGGAGAGAGTAAAGTGGAACACAGATATTCGTGTGGCGGAATGATCTCGTATCATCATTTTCTCATCATCTTTTTTTCTTTCTTGTTTTTATTTTTATTTTTAGATTTTGTCCTTTTATCTTTATATATATATATATATATTCTTTATATCTTTTTTATTCTATCAATTGTATATTATATCTCTTTTTATATTATCTTTTTTATCGTAGCTTATCTTTTTATCTTTCTCATCTTTCTTTTCCTTTTGGTTTCAATATCATGTTTTGCTTCATGTTATCTGACCCCAAAATCTTTTTAGACTAAGGCTTGAATGTTAATGTGTTGTTGTATGTATCAATTGTTTTTCCCAGGTATCTATCCGTACCCAAACAAAGCTTAAAAGAGTTTCAGCTTTCAATTCAAAAGCATCTTATAATTTAATTTAAACTAGATTTAGTCAATGTGGTTAGGAGTCGGTGAATTATCCGATGTGCAAAAGCAACACAGTCATCTCAACAGTTCTTTGATCAGATTTTGAATTCAAATTTTTGGGTGTTTAGTTGGTAAAAATGAAAGAAGAAGAAAAAGAAAAACCGGGGTAGAAGAAGAAAGAAGAAGGGGGAGGACGGCGAAGAATAAAGAAGAAGAATACACCTGGACAAGCCACGTAAGGACCCTTACTGGTTAACCGTACTTTGACGGGTTAGATTAGAAATTTGACCGTTTTTGTATAGTTTCAGGATTTAATTGGGTGTTTCTTTTTTTAGTTCAAGGGCTTAATTGACTTTTTTGGCGTACTTCGAGGGCCAATTTGACAATTTTCCCTAGTTTGTAATATAGTTAAAATCAAGTAAAATTTATTTTAGTAAAATCTGTCCTGGTTTGAGGGGAGTTGGCGCTTGGATAACTGATAAATGGGCTTTATTTCATACCATTATTAACAGATTGGAGCTACGGCTTAGCAATAACTATCTCATCTTATTTTTAAGTTCTTATCCTGGCCAAGTTTCTCTTTGGGTCTTTAAGGGTCTGTTTTGTTCTGAAAAGCAGAAAATGCTAGGTAAAGAAAGTAGAGAGGAAATTCGATGGAAAGACAATTTGCGGAAAAAATAAAAGATAGATTATAACTCGAGAAATCTACGTTCTAGATATTTGTTCAAGCTCCTATTATTTATTTATACTATACAAAGACTAAGAAATCTAATATACCAATATGTATAAAATAGAACACCAAAATCTTTTGTGAATAAGGCTTGAATGTTGTTGTATATAAATAGAAAATGTATTCACTTTCCATGTTCCTTTTTAGTTTTCCAATGTGAAACCAAACATAACAAAGCAACTTGTCTTTGCAACTTCTTTTCTTTCCCTAACATTGGGTAAGTTCCAAACTACCCTTATGGAATTGGAAGAAGGGTTAAGAAACTAATATACTTATAGTAGTTCAATCAAATAATTTATCTTCCATTTTAAGGTTGGGTTAAAGTTCTTTTCAAGATTTCATGCCTCACTTGCAATTTTGAATGTTTTATCATCTGAAATGTGTTAGCTAAGTCTCTTATGCTCGGAACCTCTAAAGATAATGCTATTTAAGATTTAATGATCTTGAACATCTTACTTTTCTTGGTGGATTGTTCTTCTTAAGGGTCCATTGCTTGTCACAACTCAAACATAATATGATTTTCATTCACTTTTACTTGCTCTACTTTCTTCTTACGAAACTTATTTTTACTAGCTCGACTTTCTATTTTTGGCAAAATCATATCAAGATATTAATATTTCTTCCATCTTCTCTCTCCTATTTTCTTGTACAGTATTAACCACCCCAACAAATTTATAAGCCTACTGAAGCGAGTGAAATTTAATGATTCACAGGTTTTGGAGAACATGAGTTCTCATAAAATAAAACCTCTTGTAGCATTAAATGGTACGGCTAAAGAAGCTGGCATTGGACCAGGCATTGGTTTGGTTGACATAGGCGAGAGCGAGTGTGCCTACCTTTTCCAAGTTTCTCTTCCCGGAGTTAGGGATAAAGGTCAGTTCTTCACTTTTTCTTCCTATTCAACACAAGATATGTTCATCCAACACTAGTTAGTACTGTGTTTAATTCATTTCTACAGTACGTATTCACATACATTGTTTGGCTTCAAAATAGTATCATCATATCATCCTACTAGTCAGTCTACTACTACTACTCCTCCTATACAGGACATTTAAAATGCGACATACAGAGAGATGGGAAAGTGAACATAGAAGGTGTGATAACAGAGTCTCATCAACTTTTGAGAAACTCGTCTGCGGGGCTGTATCAGGTGAACGTTCAAGAGCTTTGTCCGCCCGGACCCTTCAGTGTGTCGTTCAGTTTGCCCGGGCCGGTGGACCCCAGGCTGTGCTCTCCAACTTTCAGACAGGACGGTATCCTGGAAGTCGTAGTAGTCAAGTTTGGTTTGCCTCACCACCTTGAATGCGAAGGCAGCAGCTTGTCAGCAAACTGGTCAAATGGCTGGTTTCAACCGTCTTGACTGAATATTAGGGTCGGTGGTTGATAGATGCCTCTGGCTGCAGTTACCTTTCGTACATTTCATGAAGAAACTAATTATATATAGACTCTAAGTTCATCACCACTATGTTTGATGTATACATGCAGGCATGCATCTTTTTCTAAATTACTTTTTACAACACAAGACCTTTAAGCCTGATGGTGATTACCACACTAATTGTGCAATGCTCTGCTATACCCTACCTTTATGATTTGTTGTGTTTTGCTTTGCCTAAATGCGTGCATGCTTTTGTATTGAGGACACAAAGCATCTACATGGACATACAAAGTAGGCATGGATTCGGGCCGGGCCGGGCCTAGGCCCGGTCGGGCTGCCGGTGTGTGAATGGTGGGCCCGGGATCGGCCTGAGGTACAGACGGTTCCAGTTCGGGCCGTGCCACCCGTCTGGGTCACGGGTCGGGCCACCCGCCGGGCCGGTTAAATCCATTTTTTTATATAATTTATACTTTATAGTTTTATACAAGTATTAAAAACAAACTTCAAGTGCATTTATTTGAAATGAAATAGGAACTACATTTGACAATTGAGAAAAAAAATACAATATGAAATACATTTTGTAATCAATCGGAACTTCCTGGACCTCCCGATCCTTTGGCTTTGTCACATGACTTAATATGCTTCCTTGCCATCCCGTATCCGCGTGAAACCCTCATGCTACACTTTTTTTCGCACCATTTTCAAGTTGTGTATCACATTCCGGTCCTCAGGTCCTTCTGTGTATCAAAATTAAATTATATAATGGCATATTGACTTTCCATCTTAAAAATGGTAGATATAATAATTCTACAAATACTAGAATAGATGAAGATGAAGATGAAGATGGATATCGGAGAAGATGTGTATAAAAATGTTAGAAAATATGAGTATTTATAGAAATTTTTGTACCCCTACCCCACCCCCACCCCCAACGGTTCTATTGATTCAAATTTCAAACAACCAAAGTGCCCAAGTCCCAACGTACGGCTATATAGCTGTTTGGGGCCTTTGATTTCAATTTTTTTTGTTTATTTTAGTTTGAATAAATTACATAATGTAAAATTAATTAATTAATTTTATGAATTCAGTAAAAAATGCTACATATAAAAAAATGAACGTATATTTATTTGAAATATGAACTACAAGTTTACAAGTTACAATTGAAGGTAAAATTAAAACAAGAAATACTAATCAATTGGAATCTCTGTAATAGGTAGATTCACCCTCGGTTGTAGATTCATCCATAAAGTGTTGGGATGAGGTGATGTCATTTTCTTGAACTCTACGGCCCGCCTACAACCAATCGTGGTAGCATATAAGCATCTCAAGAGATTCTGCGCTCAACCTCGTTCTACATTGCAGTAGGACATTGCCGACCGAACTAAATTATTGTTCGATGGCAACTGTTGAAACCGGCATTGATAGCACTTGCTGAGCCATCTTTGCTAAAATCGGGAACATTCTTTCTTTTCCCTTCCACCAGTTTAGAACGTCAAAGTCATCATCTTCTTCAAAATCAACATCATATGTTAAATACAAAGAAATCTCATTAATTGTGCTTTGTTGAGTAGCGGGTGTTGTTTTAGTTTTTGTAATAAGTAGATAAGAAATATAAGTAATATAAATATATGTATTTATAAGTAGATAAGTAATATAAGTAGATACATAATATATTGGAGAATAAGAGAATTTGAGAAGATGAATATCAAGATAATAATTAGAGAGTAGAGTGTAGTCCCTTCGGGGACATCCGATAAAATTGGAACGATAGAGAGTAGAGTGTAGGATTTAGGAAGAGATATGGAAAAATGTTTAAGATTAGGAGTATTTATAGTTTTTTTACCTCACCCCCAAACCGCCCGAACCCCCCGCCAGCCCACCCAATGGCTATATAGCCGTTTGGGTAGTCCCCAGCCCACCCCAACGGCTCTTGGTGGCCCAAAAGTCCAAACAATTTTTTTATATGACCGTTAGACCCGGATCCGGGCCCGACCCGGCCGGGACGGGTCACCATTAGCCTGACAACTTGATGTGTTTTCTTGAGGGACTTAGTTCAAGGTTATCTCAGTTGGAATTGTATTGTTACAATCTTGATAAATCCATTGGGGAAATGCGTTCTGATCTGGTAAGAGATAGAGTGGAAGCTGACTCGAAGCTCAATTCTTTAGAGAAGAATCTCCAAGAGGCACATTTTTGTATATTTATTTATCCATTTATTTATTTATTTATATATTTATACTTATTTATTATTTCCTTGTGTGATGTACTACACTATCTCTCCTATCCATCTTTGGAGTAGATTTTGAAATGTAGTTTTTAGTGCTCTGTAATTGTTGGCATTCTTATTGAGTAGTAGAGTCCTTTAGTTGAAGTTTTAAGGTATGCCACAGCCCACAGTTCCTTCAAGCTATGCCTGGACTCCTGAAAGATGAAAAGGCAGGGAAATAGAAAAAATGTTGAGGAAAATTATTTTAGTCTGTTTTTTACTTTAACCTTACAGAGTAGGTGGGAAAATCAAAATTTGAACAAAACAAATTAAGATTTTACATATGCCCCTAAAATTAACATTTGGTGTTTGTCTGAGTAATTGATTAAACCCATTTGCCACGTGGCATTAAATGAATTTTACTTGAAAATAAAAGTTCACATTTAAAATCGGATTCTTGTTCTTTTGTCCCTTTTTGGACAACAATAGATCTTAGTGTGAGACTCTTCTTTTTTGCTTGGGAAACTGTCCAACACTGTCAATTAGACCATTAAAGTATTTCAAAAACGTCAATTAGTTCCTCATACAAAAAGACCCAATTGACACCCTACACTCTAAAAAACAGCAATTTCTCATTTCATCCTGTAACTATCCGGTTTACTGCCTACCCCTTAAAGTAGCTATTGTTAAACTCATATGTGGCGCCATATCATCCGTCTCATGCTTATCTAATCTTTTTTTTCATGCTAGTCTCTTCCAAGTCTCTTGTAGAAGACTTCTCCCAGAGAAAGTCTGGGTCACCTGCACGTCTTCTTCCTCTCATAAACATCTACTTATGTCTTCCTCCTCCGGAAATCCTTGGGCCTTTTTTACTAAGGGTATATTTGGGAATTTGGTAGGAAGGGAATGAAAGGCTTTGTAGATAAGTTGTTGGAAGGGAAGGGGAGGGGAAACGAGAGTCTAAGAAGGAATTGTAATTAAAATAACTTCTGAGATATGGTGAATTCAAATAGTTGAACTGATATTCATTTTAATTTGAGCTTAAATTATCATTTAGTTAGTTATACTCAAAACCCCCTCATTTTTTAGATACTTAAAAATTGAGCATTTGCGGGATTTTGGAGAGTCACAAAAACCTTCCTAAATCACTCCTCCACATTTCTTAAACTTCCAAACACAAATAGGAGGGTCATCATTCTCATCAACCTTTACATGTCTTCCCCTCCCTCTCAAAAACCAACTCCCAAACACCACACCCCTAAGAAAACCCTTACACCTGGAGCCTAGGACATCTATGGTTTCTAGGGGTGGATTCGGTTCAGTTCCCGGACCGAAATAGAAAAATTCCAAACCGAACCGAACATTCGGTTTCTCAAATTCTCTAAGCCGAAACCGAACCGAATAATAATCAAACCGGATTTTTCGAAACCCGATTTTTCGGGTCGGTTTTTCGGTTTTACAGAAAACCGAATAAATTTGGAACTATTGCCTGAAGAGTGGCAGGGAAGCAAGACTTAGCTCGCCTGATTCAAATCCTTACCGAAGAGCGGTAATTAAGTGTGGAATAATTTGGAAGGGTTTAGAAAAATTAAATGTGGAATGTGAAGCAGATGGGATTCGAACACGGGTGAAAAGTTGAAAGCGGAAGGAGATGTCTTCCCACAACCGCTGAACCGCATCACAAACTTGTTTAGAAACGGACTTTTAACATATTTATTATGTATGAGGTGCAGAATATATATAAATATATAACACTTAATAAAAATCGATTCGGTACGGTTTGAACCGATTTTAAACCTCTAAAAACCGCCTTTGAACCGATTATTTTTCGGGTCCCGACTTTCGGGTCCCGTTGTAGTCGGTTCGGTTTTGGTTCGGTTTTTTTATAGCTCGGTTCGGGTTTTTTCGGTTCGGTTTTCGGTTTAAAATGCCAGCCCTAATGGTTTCTATTTAATGATTTAATCAATTAATCTCTCCTTCCATTGTGAATTAATGATCAAGTGATAACAATGAACAAATTCTTCCCAAATCAAAGTTGCACTATCTTTTCCGTGCAAAGGGTAAGGATGTTTTTACTTGGAATGTAATTTTCTGGTCTGGTCTAGTGTGGTATGAAGTAATCTGGTCTAGTAAATGTCTGGTCTTTTATAACTGTTCAAGTCTGATCTGGTCTGAGACTGAAATCTGTCCAAGTAATCTGCCTTCACCCCAATAGCGATCACTTACAAGATGGGAAGCTAGAGATATACTAGTTTTCCCAGTTGGAGACGTGGTGACAGCAGGCCATAGTGGTTCCAGTGCAACAATGGTAATAATGGCGGGTGCGATCTGGTGTAGAAGCTACTGGATGGTGTCCCCCTCCATCGGTGGCTGATAACCTGACTTCCTGTTTGTGGCCCTTGACTTTTGGTCATTCACCGAACCATTCCTAGCCTCTCAGATAGTCAGATCTAGAGGTTTCAGATGAGGTGAAGGCAGAGTTAAGACGGGCATGGTGGTCAAACGGGTTTAGGGAGGGCTGGGAATAGAGAGGGAGAGCTGGGCTGCGTGGGGGAAGGGTAACAATAATAAACTCCGTATCCAGCAACATGAAGTGAGGAGAGAGGACCTGAATATTTTTTAGAAAATGGAAAAAGAAAAAAAAACATATTCAAACACCATGTCAATGTACATTACAGGATGTTTCTTAGACAACTCGCTAAAAAGAGAAATTGCATATTTTTTAGAGCTCTAGTGGTCAATTGGGTCTTTATTTGTATGAGAGCCTGTTTGACAGTTTTCTCTTTTTTCTTTTTTGACAAAGGGAGTTATCAAAATACAAATGAAATGAGTATGAACTTTGAACGAACATCTAAGATAGCTTAGAGTTGAACCTTTTTTTATTTCCCTCCAAATTTTCTCTTTCAAAACTTCTCTATTTTCCTCCCTAGTATTTCCAGGCTTCAAATGTGAAATGGACCCTTAATGATAGGAAATCCCTAGCAGTAAGTAGCCGTTGAAGTTCTTATTTGGCTTAAATTAGTTTCACCCAGTGTAGTCAAAAGCGAGCGCCTGTACGCT